AAAACTGTCCAAAGCTGAGTTATATTCCTACAGATGTGCGGGTATAACTGGTATTGTTATATCACTTCTGAGATGTTTACAATCTCATTCTCAATATGTTCCCCAAATGACGATCCATGTGAAAAGGTACATTTTTCACTACACTTCTACCTTCCTCCACTTGAGCATATCCTAAATTCTACATTTATATACCTGTGTCTATACTTTGCAGCTGGTCCTGTAAATACCTGAATAACAATTCTAGCCCCTGATTCTTATGATATTAAAAAACATGAGTGCAATTGAACTTCTGAAGTACAGATGCACTCCGCATGCTTCATGGGAGACAAAAGTGAAGCAAGGATTTCTGGCAGATGCAAACATATCAAGTTGTAGTGTTTCACCCTTAAGTCTTAATGCCAGTAGGCATTTTGTCTGTGTCATAACTACTGGCTCAAATGCTACAAGTCAAATCCTCACTCAAACCTCTCATCCTAGTATAACTCCAAAGTCAATGAACACACTTTGTATTTGCATGAACTTGCACAAGATCAGAATATCATTTACATAGCTAAATAAAGTTATTATTATAAAGTCTGAAATGAACAAAAATGGAACTGGGCATATTTGGGAACTGGACAAAACCTCTGATAAAAATCATTCTGTGTACATTTAAAAAAAATCATATTATGCTCAGTCCAGGATGGAATCGAGAATTTTGTAAAAGCTTTCACTTACTCTCAGTGTTACCCAACTACGAATCTTTCATGAGATCTGAATCAGACTTAGTGTACTGCACTAGTGCTTATTTTCTGTTTTCATAAATTCACACACAGCATACCAACCTGAACTACCAGCTCTAGCTAAAGACCTCTGGAAAATCACCCAATTTGAAAAGATTGATGCAGTTTCATATGAGGAAACCATCAAGCTCTTTGTATGGATTTGTTTTGATGTATGTGTGACTGTATGCTTGCGCGCATGCATGCATAGATGCATGTGCATAAGCACAAAACAATATTTAAGAAAGTTTAAATTTAACTGTAATAGAAAAAACATAGATTAAACATGTTAGACACATTTTTTTGTAGAACCTGTTTTAATACAGAACAGGATTTTTTTTTTCATTTTGTGGAAGAGGAAGAAAACAAAATCTCTTCCTCACAGGTTTCTCCATCTAAATGGTCAGCATAAAAAGACAGGTGGTCTGTGTGAATTGATCATGCATTTTTTTTAGCTCCAGAGTTTTGCTTTTTATAGAAGTTTGTTCTGTTTTGATTTTTAGCTGTATGTGTCAGTCAAAGCTTCTTAGTAAGTGACATTTTGCAAAAGCCATGTTTTGGTGACCAAGTTGGAGAATACAGTGCAGATACTAGTTTTACCATTATACTCATTCGTAGAAAATGGCAGGTTTGTTCAGAGACTGAGAGAGAGAAGGAAGGGGGGGAGTTATCACTATCTGTACATGCTGGGGGAACATTAATTACAGTTGTTAAATTATTTCAGTTTAAAGGGTTGGTTCTACAAAATTCACTTGACTTCTGAGTTCTCACCTTACCATAGTATAAGAACACATTTTTTTCCCTTTAAAATGTAACTGGTTTGAATGTAACACTGAGGGAGAAAGCTACTTCATGTCTGAGAGTGTTATAGGAGATTAGTCTTGTTTAACCAGCTCCAAGCAGTAAAATATCTTGAGATGAAGCCTTGTATCTCATAGGTCAACTGGTAACTTGCAGGACAAAGTAAAAGGGAAGAGCTTTAAATGGGAAACCTAGCACTTAGAGACCTTTAGAAGTAATATATTATACAAGTGCAAGTTATTATCAATATTAGAAATGTGACATTGCCATAAATTATGAAAGCTGTGAAGGATAACATCTCTATAGACAATACAATATTTTCTTTAACTTTGTTCTCTTGGTTTCAACAAGTCGCAACTACAGTTAAAAATGAGATAACTACAAAAATGCATGAACAGAAACAGGAGAGGGACATCTTAAAATGAGCACTGCAAATGCCCTGGTGTAGTGAAACTGTTTAAAAGTAAATACATGCAGTAAGGCTTACCTAAAAGAATGGAAGACTGATTAAGGAAACTATGACTGAAGAAGCATGGGAAGATTGCATAAGACATAACAAATCAGCTGGGAGAAAAATATCATTCATATTTTTCCTGTTTCAATCTAAGAATTGTTTAAGAATATGGTGACAAAGAAGATAAGTAAAAAGCCACAACTGAAAAAAGAAGGTTGTGCTGGCTAACTAACCAGCCTGGTATACAGGGAATGGGAAAGCAGTAAGTAACCAAATAATAGTAATAATATATTACACATGGATAAAAGGGGAAGTTGATAGCAACAAACATAAATATAAACTAGAAAGGAAGCCAAAAAACACAAAAAAATCCATGTTTAGCAGAGTAAAGGAGAATAAAGAAATAGAAATAACCAATAATGGTAGTGGTCTATTACTAGATGGAAAGGATAGACTTGCATAAAATAATACAGAGGCAGCAGATAGATTCAATAAATATTTATATTCTGTGTGTGGAAAAAGTCAAAAAAGTTTTCATATCATAAAATGATAATGAAATACTTTCCAGTTCAACTCTAAGGAACATGTTATAACAACTGCTCAAGTTAGCTATCTTTAAATAACAAGTGTGGATACATGAGTTTCACAGGACCTGGCATAGGAACAATCCAAATCATTACTACAATATTACAATATTTTTAATTTTAATAAGTCTTGGAGCATTGAGGAAATTTCAGTGATGCTGGAAAAAAACAGATATAATTCCAATATTTTAAAATGTAAATGGTATAACACGGATTGAAGGAAAGTACCACATTTACCAGAATCGAAGATGACTGCAAATTTAAGACAACCCTCCAATAATTAGATTCTAGACATGGACAATTATTATTTTATCATTTTCCATGTTTAGAGTCTAATTATTTGAGTGTCATCTTCAATCCCCACCCCACTGCAGGAGGAAAGTAGAAGCAGTGAGGGTGGGTGATGTGGAAAGTGTGTGGGGAAGAAGAAAGCAGGCAGTGGTGAGGCAATCAGCAGGGGGAGCAGGCTACCTTACTCCCACTCCTTGCCCCCTAAGGCTACATTCAGATGTACAGGGCATGCACTTAGACTGGCACAAATCACAGTGGCACAAATTCATGCCACTACTTTGTGCCTCAGTGCATACCCTTGTACATGTACTTTGGTGAGGGACAAATTGTCCTGCTTTGGGAAAACTGCCCTTTCCCCACTCCTCCTGTCCCCTAGCATGCTGGAACAGCTCAGGGCACAAACAAAATAGTAGAGATGCTCCCTGGAGGACCGAGCCTCTGTTTTTCCTGCACAAGCTATTGTAGCGTGTGCCACACCATTTCTTTTCTTGGAGTTTGTTTTTTTTCTACTGGGAAATACCGGTAGCAATTTTTGCCCCCATGCTGCAAATCTGCAGTGCAGGACACATTTTAACATTCCAAGAGTGAGTTATGTAGTGCCATAAACCGAACACGCCTGCATGTCTCCACACAGCCCAAATGTCTTTCCTAATCCAAAATTCTAGGTACCTTTCCAGGTGCTTCCTCTTTAAACATGGTTTTCATGTTAGCTTCTTTCTAGTCCCTACTAGATGCCTTCCATTTTGCCAGCGAGGAGTTAAATGTTTCTCCAGCTATTTTTTTTTTCATATTGCCTGCCTTGTCCTTGAAGGATTCTGGGATGCTGGCCATCCCCTCTTGGAACCCCTCTTTGCAGATGATCTAATTTTTGTTTTAAACTTGTTCTGAGGTAACTCATCGTTCCAGTAATTTTCTTCTTCTTTCCTAGCTGTTTTCCACAGAAATCGTATCTCTGTTTCTGGCATGTATTATAGTTGCACAGTATTATAGTTGCAGTTGCATGAGTGTCAAACACCAAGGTAATTTATCCTCCCTACTCCCACTCAGCATTGTGATGTTAATACATCCAAAATATATTAGCCCTTTTAGCCACAGTGTCATATTACAAGCTCATGTTCAGCTGATTATGCAGAGACCAATGGCTTTTTCATCATGCTTTCCAGTATGGAGCCACCTATTTTGTACGCGTTATCTATGCATTCTTTGTTCCTAGATCTATGCATACAGTACAAAATGTATATTGTCTGGGTAGACACAGCCTAAGACTTATTTTGACTTTAGGAAAGAACTCCACTTAAAAAACAGATATACTATATTAGATCAGTAATGATTACATCAATAACAAAATTCTCAAATGGAGTAAAAAGAATGGGCTTTGCACTTCAGATCAAAATATAATGGAAAATAGCAATAGCCTGGATAGGAATGAGATAAATTGCACAGAGAAAGGATGAGCACTCAACTTAATCTTGCTTACCATCATCAGCACCCTGAAATAGGCATCGATATGAATAACTATTGAGTGTGAATGAATGCAAAAGTGAAAGTAAGCTGAATACAAATATACCTGAGGAAACGGGGATGTGGGCTGGAAAACTGCATTAGTAAATGTCCACTTAAAATATGGAAAATAGTGAGGTCTGGATGAAAAAAAAACCCAATCCCAGAAGGAGATTTGCTCTGAGTACTGCTGACATACTAAAAGAAGTTAGTCAGGAAACAAATCTGTATAGGTGACAGTGGACTGAATCTTTGAAAACACTGCTCAGATATTTTCAGCAATAAGGAAAGCAGCAAGAATATAAGGCGCAACACAAGTGAGAGCAGAAACTGGGAGCAACCACATTGGCTCTGTCACCAGTAAGACCTCATCAGGAGTATTCTGCACAATTACAGGTATCATAATACAAGAAGGATGTTGATAGAGAAGGATTCTGGTGGCAACATTTTACATTTAAATGTAAGCTAAATATACAGATTTATTTTTTTCAGTTGTTGAAGTTTTTAAACAAGCCCATTCAATAAGACAGACCTAGTGGTCAACTTACCTTCACCTAAAATATTAAACAAAATACAGAAATGCATAAATTAAAAAACAACAACACATACTATTTTCCTGTCGTACGATTCCCCACTGCTGTAAGTCGTAGCTAGCGTTGATGCACATTCTTCCAGATACCAAGGTTTCTTCCCACTTTCAGCTGTGCTGCTTATGGAGATAGTGTAGATGCTATTAGTGTAGCCATCACAGGAGCAGTGATCTCTACTCCTTCCACCATTTCCAGATGCCCAGACATAAATGGAACCTAAGCCTCTTCGTCCCTGTTTATAAACAAATGGAAAAGTATGATTAATGTTGTTTTTTTCACTTAACAAATGGGCTCTTCCCAACCTACAGCTTCCTCCCCTCCCCCAAAAGACAAAAAAGGCTCATTGCAGAACAATGAGAAGTAACAACAGATTGTAGAAGGCCAAAACGTTATTCTGTCAAGCCCCAAAAAGAGATGCTGAAGACATACAGCATGCATTACAAGTATTATACAGGGTTTAAACTGTAAAAGAAAAGAGCATGTTTGTAACTAAAACCATTCCTAATATACAGTGCCATCTGTTTATAAAGGTCTCTTGCCTGTTACTTCCTGGAATTACGAAGTGATGCTATGTTCTGTTTGGTTGTATTAAATACCATGGACCACAAGGGAGTCATTCCAGAAATATTATAAATGGTAAATGTAAAACACTTTATAAAAACAAAACATGGACAAGTCGAGAAGGTCTTTATAAATATATCAGTATTAAATGCTAAAGCTTTGATAAGCAAGACACTTGAAACACATGGGCAGCTTCACTGAAGTTAAGAACATGCTTAAGTAATTTGCTAAATGAAGGCTTAAAACAGATAATACAGATGAAGAAGATTTAAAGTTTTGGCCTAAATTCATTACACTGTCTGATGATTAGCAGGGAATTGTGGTCTTCCTGATCTATGTTTTGAACACTTAATGCAGGTCCAACTATCATTCCTATTCACACACAAGTCTCCTATAACTTATGTCATCTAACCATCTTCATTCATTATCAGGAAGCAAAATTATATTAATTAGGTAAGGCGGGAATGGCTACCCTGTGGCACAAATGACACAGGTGTCATGGACAGTCTTTGTGTGTGGCATGCAGCATATTAGGGAGGGGACAGGCAGCACAGTGGGAGACACTGCAAGGAGCGGAAAGCAGAGCAGCAGATCAGGCAGGGGTAGGGGATCAGAGTAGCACTTGAGGAGGGTGGGGGCTTAAATTTGTGGCACAGCTGCTAAAACGGCTGACCCTTACTGAGGTAAGACATTTTATCAATAGGATGATATAATTGGGGGTTGTCCTGCTTTGAGCAGGGGAGTTCCTTTCCAACCCTAATTTTCTATGATACTATGATCAAAGGAGTAATCTTGTCTTAATTCTTCAAAATTAAACCACCTTATTTACTATTTTTAAGGCAAAGAAAGAGCCCCTGTTACAATTAACAGTCTAATTTATCTCTCATTTGTTTGTAGCCCACCATGAAATATGTTTTGTGTAAATGGTAGGACCTTTCTATGTGTGATAAAGTAATATCATACTGTATCACACTCTGTGATCATGGATTACTTCCATATGTGTTGTGTTGTTCGTTATTTATAAACTGCATGGATTTGTGTACTGCAAATGACATAAGGACAGCTGTTGGATATCTACTAGGTCAATCTTAAACAATTAGCAGTTCAAAGATTCATTTAATCCAGATGCACAGGGGGGTTTCGTTAGTGTATTTTGTGCCAAGTGTAATAGAAACTAAATCAATTTCAGGGAAAGATCCACACAGTTCACAATAGAGGCAGATACGTGTGCTTGAGTTCTGAAATGTTGATGAATTTCATTCTCTGAGTTTTAAAAAAATATAGCACCTGGAGAGACTTTTCTCTCCAGCACAATAAGTTAAATATCCAAGTCTCCTGGCTAGTGTTTACATAAGATTATGCCTCTAAAGTGCAATTTCTCATTTAAAAAAATTTCAAGCAGAGGAGAAAAAATTCCCAGGGTTTCAAGTCAAATGTATTTTGAAATTCACACACCAGACAAGATCAGTCTGACCAGCCAGGAAGTATAATTTTTTCAATTTCTTTTCCTCTCTTTGGCTGATCTTAGCTGCTCCAATGATAAAGAGGAGTATAACAATAAACTTTTTTTAAAAACCTAACAGTCTCTTTTTTTCTCTCTCATTTGTTCACTTTCTTTCTCATTTGGGTTTTCCTTTATTTGCTTTCCCTCCAACTCCAATAAAAATATAAATGTGAAATGAAAAATTAAATATGTGCCGCTGTGAAATGCCCCTGTGACATCTCTTAAGACGTGGTTCTCTTACTTTCCTTTGTGAGTCTTTCTCCAAGAGTAGACTTCATCCATTAACACGAAGACAGCTACAAGACCCTGGTGCCTTCTACGAAATGTACTCATTAATGAACCCAAACTAGAGAAGAGATTGGGAACAGATGGCACGCAAACCCCAGCTCCTATGAAGGAGTACTTTGGAATCAATAATTTGCTAAAAAGCCAATTTTTTCTTTTACATTTTTATAGAATTTTTTCACACTTTCTCCACAAAAGGAAAAAAAGAAATCTAACTATCTCTAGTTCCTCATGCCCTCCCTTTTTCCAGTTATCCTCTTTTATCATCATTAGCTGCATTTGGCTAATTTGTGAACTAGTCCTACAACCCTTACTCAAATTATTCACATCCATTACTACAGTTAGTGCAATGTGATTTCTTAGTCTACTAAGACTGCCTTGAATTTATAGCTTGTTTTCCCTGGAACCAGGTCTTATTTTTATAAAGCACTATCACAGCCCATGGTGCTTTCATCATAATGAAAAATGAGAATTATGCAAGCAGAAACTGATATGCAAGCATATTTTGTTCATGCGCAGAATAGCAGGCTTCTAGAAACATGGCCCAGGTGTTAGAAATGCTTCACTACAGTATATAAAATAATAAACACAACTTACATTTTGTTTATTCATAAGTCTTTCTAAAGAACTGTTAACTTCCTTATGCGCGAGTTATTTTGTAAACAATTTATTAGGGATATAAATACATTTCTCCAAAATTAAAATCTCCTGCAAAGAAAAGTTTAATAATCTATGTCTTTTCCATAAAAACTAGGTACCAAGTACACTGACTAATGGAAAACAATACTCTTTACTCCACATGAAGTAAAGAATTCCAGTTCCTCTAATGTACTGCACTATAGTACATTTACAAACTCAGCATTTCACAGAAAACAACAGAATTTAACCTTCAGTCTAGACAATATGCTAAAGCTCTTGTCCAAAAAACTATTTGGCAAAGCAAATGACAGTCCTAAAAAAAACAAAATTCAACCTGCCCAAAATAACACGTCAAGTAAATATGCTCTGGTTTTCATTTACTGCCTTTTGTTTGATTACCATTTGGTTTTCTCTTCTCCCTTCTACCCTCACACCCTACTTTAATTCAATGGACTCAGTCATGCTCAGAAAATTATAAACTTGTCAGTAATTTTTTATACCAAACAAGTAACTAGAGCTATAGCATCGCCTGCCCTACTGTATGTGAACCCCTTTTACAATTGGTCTCCTTTCAGTACATGAAGTTAAATAGCAGACATTTGGACTATATTATAACCTTCAGGTAAACACGTATACTATGCACTCTATAGCTTTTTCAGTTTGCCTAAATCTGTCATCTATCATGTTCCAGATGTCCAAGGGTGTCAGGATGAAAAGTCAGTTTGTGGGATGCCAGGAAGTTTTGTATTTTTTTTATTACTCAAAAGCAAAATCTGTATTTACTGACCATATGGGTACAAGCTCTTAGACAAAACCAAATGCATAGTCAGTGATGTGAATTGTAGTGGAGAAACGGCGAGGCCTGGAATGTGTGTGTAGTGGAACATCCTCGGAGCTCATGCCAATGATGTCACACACAAATTCATTAACCATCCCCTCTGGGCACAGTGCTGTGCTGCCTTATGTCTTGCATTTGCAATGGTACTACTGACTCACTCTTCCAAACATTATAAAGCATTCCACAACTGCACTTGTGCTTGACTGTATTTTGTACCCTTATAAGATATTTTCCTACTGTTTTGTCTTCTCTGATACTTAAACATTAAAAAAACCAAAAAAAAAAGACTCCACTCCCAATACCAATCTAGCTATATGAAGAATTCACTAGGACATTTCACAGGTATTGCTGATTTGCACAAAGCACAATTCATAACAATGGGTGCGTCTAAATGAGATGCTTCTGCGCAATCACTACTGTGCATTTATGTATTACTTGTATTAGCAAGTATGAAATAAAGGCACAGTAACCAGAGTTACTGTGCAGTAGGCACCAGTGAACATCTTTTAAATGACACTACTGCACAGTAGTGTATTGACACTGTCTGTGCTGTGACACACTACTGTGCAGTATTATTCAGCTACTATGCAGTCAGCATCTTATGAAGATGAGCCCGGTGTGTGTGAATGCTATTCTAAATTAAGCAAGCTGCAAAAGGCCACAGGGACCTGTAATTGCATCTGAAAAACTGCAACATGAAAGTGTAAGGCATGCCCCTGTCCTTCTGGCCATGCCTCCTTTTCCTTGCTCTGCTAGCTGCAGATAGTGTAAATGTTATAAAAGACCTTGCTGAATCTCAACATCAAAGGAGGATCATTTCTACACAGGGGTGATCTTTCCTAGGCAACCCAATCCAGTTTTAGTGACATTACATGGGGAATCAGAGCCAATATGAACATTCTTCTAATGATTTTTTCCAACAATACTGAAGGAACATCCAATGTTCCAGGGGTTTATAATTTTATTAATAGATCATGATTGACTGTGGTAGATATCATTATAGCATAATGGTCTTCACACCATGCTCCATGAACCGAAGTGGTTCAACATGCCAAACTGTCTCTGGAACACCTTCCATCAAACAAGTGAAGCATGTGCAAGTGCTTCACTTCTGTTTGGTCACCTGAGATGCTGGAAAGAAACTGTCAAGAATGCTCTTTCTTTACTGGGAATTTCTGTGATGCCAACTGAGCAGTGATCAAATCTGTTGAAGGACAGGAAACTAAATATGGAGGAGCAAGAAACGTGGAGGGGGGCCAGAACCAGTGACCTGGAGAGATTAGAGCAGTGGGGGCTGCAGCAATGAGAGGCAACTGGGTACTGTACTACTAAATATGAAATCCTGCTTCCAGGAGGAAACAAATCAGACAGAAAACAGAAAGGAAGGAGGGGGCATCCTATGCAC